AAGGCCAACTTTATATCGAATTGTTTTCCCCACCCCTCTCGGCAAAATAGTAATAAAAGCTGACATTTTAAATAATCGTTATGGGGCCAAAATTGTTGGCGCCTGGAGAGGGCTCGAGGGGGCAGGGCGAGCAGCAAGCAGGGAAAGGAGAGGCGGCAGGTTCCGGAGCCACGAAATCTCTGTGCATCTTCCCCATCCCTTTCCCGTTTTGCACGGGGCTGTTTTTTCTCCACGTCGTCCCCGAGCAGGAGGCTCCCCAGGTCCAAGGGGGGTGGGAAAGGGGCAGGGCTGTGTAATTAAATTCCGGTGCCCGGTTAATTGCTGTAATTTGACGCTAACTGTACACCGAGGGCCGGCGCTGAGAGCGGCGGTGCGAAGCGCGCCTCGCACGGCCCATTGACCGCGCCCCGCCCCGCCGACGCGCAGGAGCCGCCGGTCCCCGCCGAGGGTGCCCGGTCTCCGCCGACCCCGGCTCGCTGGGCCGGTGCATGACAAGCGGATCCTCGTAGGAGCCGACGATTCGACTGCCCGCGGCCCCGGCGTTCCCCCGGGATCCAATGGCTGCGGGTGCCAGCTTTTGCTCCCCTCGTCCCACCTGCCTGGAGACAGGAACTGCCTTCCGTAAGGTCCTTGTATCCAAGCCCTTATGGTGGGGCGAGGGGATGTGATCTCCCTGCTACTGGAGACTGGAGTCAGCGCAGGACCCAACCCAGCCCAGCCTCATTGGTGGGTGACAATGCACCCCAACATCCAGGAAGCCTCAAACTTCCCATGCCCGGGATATGATGCCCCATTCACCTGTCTCTGAAATGTGAAAGGGCTTGCTGTGCAACTGCGAAGTGGAAATTGTTTGCATCCTTCCCCAGAACCCTGTAGCTGGAATACTGCTTCTCCCCACGCCCCCAGTGTCCTGCTCATAGAAATGAGGCAGAGTCCGTGCTTCCTCACTTTTTCGGGGTGTGAAATCAGGGCTGCGCGACACACTGGCGAGCTTCCAGGGCACTTCGGCACTTGAATCCCCGAGGGAAAAAAAACCCAACAAAACGTGGGCGGGGACAAGGGGTATGGACATGGAGAGGCCCAAGGGCCACAGGCTGTCGCAGGCCACCTTCCCCCGGGGGAACGCAGCATCTCTCACCGCACGTCGCTCCCGCGCAGCCCGGCGGGACTGACCCCGGCCGCCCGCCCCCTCTTGGCCCCCGTACCAGCGGCTGGAAAGTCTGTCTGCGCTGGGGGAGATGTCTTTGCTTCTCCCTGGACTCCCCAGGCAATTTGCAGTGCTTCCGTCACCCATCTGGGCTGGTTCAGCCATCCCGGTGCTTTGCCTTTCTGGGCTACTGATATTATTATTATTATTATTATTATTATTATTATTATTATTATTATTATTATTATTATTATTATTATTATTTTACTGTTACTACTGCTACTACGTCCATGTAGTCCTTGACAACTTGCCCCCGAGATAAACTTCCACCGGCCCCCCGGGGGAATGTGAATCCTGGGGGGCTCGCCCGCCCCCACCCCGGCCGCGGGCGGGCACCCGGCCGGACAGAGCTGTCCTCTGCCCGCGGCTGGGTGAGCACCGGGACGCTCACCCGGCTGCGGGAGAGCCGGGACGCGACACCGTGGCGAAGCGGGCAGGGGTCCGGCGGCTGCAGGACGCCCGAGGCACGCTCGGGAGCCTCCCGGGGAGCCCCGTGCCCGGTCCCCCGGGAGCGGCGGGGCCGGGCGGGCGCGGTGGGAGCGCGGTGGCGGGGGGCAGCGCGCAGGCAGCGCGGAGGCAGCGCGCAGGCGCGGGCAGGGAGCACCCAGCTCTTTATGGCCAGGTGAGAGAGTCCCGGCTCAGGTAAGGGGAGGATTTACCCACAGGCGTCCAAGGCGAGTGGCTTGCCCTCGCAGTCCATGACCAGCAGGGACCTGGGGACTCGGAGCCCGCAGCCAGGATGTCTATCCTTGCCAAGATGGGGGACTGGCAGGTAAGGTGACCCTCTGCCCTGGGGGGGTTTATTGTTACTTTGGGACGGGAGGCAGGGCTGGAGCGAGAAAGGTGACGGGCCCGGAGGGAGTTGGGGGCGAGCCTGACGCTGGTGTTGGGCGTTTTGCGGCCCTCGGTGCTGTGGCTGCCCGCGGCCACTCGCGGGGCCCGGCTGCAACAGGTAGAGAGCGGTGGACTGGGGTCGGCAGAGGCGAGGGCTGCTCCGCCGCCGCCGCGGGTGACACGACCCCGGCAGCGTGGGCCGGGCGAGGGCGGCGTGTGCCCGCCTGGCGTCCCTGTGCCCGGGGCTGGCGGCGGCCGGCCCGCCGCGGAGCCCTGGGGCTGCCACGGGACGCGGCGGGACCCCACGCGGGGCAGGGCCCGCAGCCGCCAGCGTGACCTGGCACGCATCGGGGACGTGCCGCGGGAGCTGAAACCTCTCTGCGAGCTCCCACCCCAGCCTGTCCCACGGAAAAACAACGCTGCCGGGTCCCACCCGGTAGTAGATGCGCCGGGGCGCCTGTGGAAAGCACTCCCGCGGGATGAGCTGAAGAGAAAAGCAGAACCCATTGGCGAAAAAGGCCAGACGGGGAACAGGCGGCCCGCCGCGGCCTCGGCCCGCCCCGCGGACCCGAGGGGACCCGCGCGCACCACGGGCGAGGCTACACGTGTGGAGTTACGGAGGCTCACGGACCGGGAGACACTTGAAAAACCCTGGAGCGCCCTGAAGCCCGGGCCAGATGACCGCAGCTTGCCGACTAATGAAAGGGAAGATGCACCGTCCTGTTCAAGCACACGGGATTTTCTTAGAGAAAAGGACTTTTTAAGAATTTATTTCTTCCCCAGGACAGTCTAGTTCCAGATGGGAGCCTAGTTTCTTATTCTGCTCCCAACTTTTGGAATCTCTCGACTTAGTCTTCCCATAGACTACCTTATATTTTTTTTTTATTTCTTTAGGGCAGCAGCAAGTCGTTAAAAAAAAAAAAGGTGAGGAATTAAAATAAGTAAACAAAAGTAATTAAAATTATTTTTTCATCGGCTAACATCTTTTTATCAGACCGATACAGAAAAGCGATCAAAAGAAGATTTTTCTTTCACTGAAATAAATTCTTGCGCAATCGCATTTACGGGTTATCTGCCTAGAATTCGATTCCCGACTTCTCTTTACACCCCGGCCTTCCTTGCTCCTTCTCCCCGGCGCTTGCGGGGCCCCCTCGCCCCGCCTGGCCGGAGGGGCCGGGCCGCGCGGACTCGCCTCCCGCTGCCCCGCGTGGATCTCTCGGGGAAAACCATCCCCCTCCCCTCGCAGCCCTGCGCTCCACCGGCCCGGAGAGAGCCGGCGAAAGGGTCAGGCCTTTGGCCCACGGGAGTCCCGAGCAGCCGCAGCTGGGAGGCTGTCGCGGGTGGGGAGGCTTTCCCGACCGCCCCGGTTCAGACAGGACGGCGCTAAGAGGCCATGGGCCCCTTCGTCAACCCCCTTCCCTCCTCTTTTTCTCATCACCCGCACCCCCCCGGGGCATTAACTAGGCTTAATCTGCCAGCTCCATTTGAACCTCAATGGGAGTAAAAACAACAATTTACTCTCCTGCCAGTGGTAGACAAAAGCGCTGGTGAAAAAGAGCATCGGGGGTCGGAGTATGGTGGAGGAGGGGGGAAGGGAAAAAAAAAATCCGTTTAGGAGACATGGATGTTTGTGTGTGTGAAGGGGCAGTCCAGGGAGCCCGGAGGTTTTGCCACCCTTCCCGGCGTGGCGACACGTGGGCCGGGTCCCCGAGGGCCCACGGCGGCTCCTCATCGGAGTGCAGGGGCCATTTGCTCCTAGAGGCAGTAAATTTTCCTCCGACGTCGAGGACGGGAGGGGGAAGGGGAGGTTGCCCCGGGAGGGTCTTCCAGGCCGACAAGGCAGGTTTTGCCGTCGGCAAAAGGAAGTTTCGGTGAGCAGCGGGGCAGCCAGGTGCATAGGCAGCCATAGGGATGCCCGGCTCCTGGGGACGCCTGGGGACATGGCTAGTGTGGCGAGCTGCGCCAGGCCCGACACGCCAGCCCAGCGGAGAGAGGAAAGCCTTGCCCTTCTGTGAAGAGAAGGATCACCCAGAGAGGGGAAAAAACCATTTAAAAAAAAAAAAAAAAAAGGAAATAAAACGGGAAAAGAGAAGCTTTTCGGTGGCTGTATCAAGGCTGGGTACACGGAGAAATAAAAGAGGAAAAAGGTGGAGAAGCAAGCCCCCCAGGAGGGCAGCCTGAGTGCTCCCTAGCGGCACATTGTTAAGCAAACGAAGCGCTCCACCTAAGAAAGTACCAAAGTTTTATTGTGGTCATTGTTTTGTCATTTTGCTCAAGTACTTGCAAAAGACTTTTTGGCTCCTGCTACAGTCAATTTGCCACTCGCCCACTTCTATTTGGGAGATAATGTTGTATTTGTTTGGGGTGGTGTTTTTTCTTTTGAAGACCAATAGCCAACAGAGTCGAGAAGGAAAAAAAATAGTTTGTGAAGCAAAAAAACCTTTAAAAAAACCAAAAAAAAAAGACTAAATCCAGAGGGCAACAGAAGCCTCCGCAGACAATAATCTCATTCGAGCAGGACACGAGTCTCATTTCTCCTCGCTTTGCTTCCTTTAACTTCCGTGGGGGAAAAAAAAAAAAAAAAAAAAAAAAAAGTGGGAAGGGGGAGAATTAATTTCCATGGTGTGGTTTCATGGCTAGTCCGAAACTTTCTGCGAATAGGACGGTAGCCTCTTTGATTTCACTGGCCACTTTCCTCTCCGCTGGCAGGCAGAGGCGCGGGGGCTAGCGGCGGCCCGCAGGCAGACAGGCAGGGCCCACTGCCCCCACCTCGCCGGGGCTCGACAAGTCGAAGAAACCTTTTTTGTCGTTAATTTTTTTTTTCTCCCTTGCTCGTGGGTCCCTTCTACCTGTGTCCATCGCTGCAGGTTGTAGTGCTGGCGAGCAATTGGGCTGTTGTTGATATGCTAATGAGGCGATTAGACTGTGGGTAAAGAGCTGGAAAAGGGAAAAGTTTCCACCATTAGAGGGAGATCTCCGAGCGCGGACGGGAGCGCTGCCGAGCCTCCGCCAGCCGCGCTCCCCACGCCGCCCGGCACCGCCACCGTAGGGAGAGGCAAGGCAGGGAGAACCAAATCCTCTCTCTCACGCCAATCCATGAAAATGCTTTGGAAACTGACGGATAATATCAAGTATGAGGAATGTGAGGTAAGCGCTTCCCCCGGGCCCGGGCAAAGCCCCGGCCGCGCAGCTACAAGCGGGAGCCTTCAGCATCCCTCCGTCTCTCAATTTCGTTTAGGAAAACTTCTGCTCCGTCGTCAGGCTTCCTTGCTGTCCTGCAGCCGGAGAGGGGCTGGGGTCCTTCCCCAGGAACTTCGGGGCTTGTGGAAACACGGCTTTGTCGGAAATGTATGAGGAAAGGCAAACAGGATCCAGAAGCAGCCTGGTCTATAGGTAGATCTTCCGTAGATAAGGCTCTTGTAGGATGCTACACTCATCCATATGGATGGATGGATAGATGGATGGATGGATAGGCGGCTGGCTGAATGAATGGACAGATGAATGAATGAGAGGGCCAAGAGACAAAGGGAAGAGAATTATTCTTGCACTCTAGGTACCCGAGGCATCCAAATAAATTGGCTCAGGACCGACGCTTAAATGCAGCCTTTTCGATATATCTGCGGGTTCATTATACCGAGCTGCACAAATTTACAGGGGTTAGCTGCCTAAATGAAATAATGGGTTTTGGGAGCAGTGTTCCCCCAGCCTCCTAATTTTCAGGGCCACATTCCCACGGGTTTGAGACAGTAATTTAACCGCTTGGGAAAAAATAAATAAAATCCACCTCATTCGGTTTTGGAGCCGTTCAGCACAGATTGTGTGCGCACATCTCTCTCTGTGCCTGTATGTGCATCCATATTTTTACAAAGAGGCGAGTGTCTTTTAATCTGACAAAAAGGAGAAGAAGAAGAAAAAGAAGAGCGATGCCCAGGACCCATACCTAGTCTCAAACCAACGAATATTACTGTCACCCGTTTCGAAAAAGTTGCTTATGCAGTGGGTTCAAACCGCGCAATAAAAGACTCTACTTTTGCAAGTGAACGCTGTTATTTGGTCCTGACCCACGCGGGAAGATCCCCTCAGCCTCGGCGGAACCTTGCCGACATGCATCTCTGGGTCGAAGGGGGCACTCTCCCGTCCGACCCTGACGCTGTTTTGGGTGATGCTGTAGTTTAGGAAAGGGACTGAGGATTCGGCAGGCTCAGCACCGACTAAGTGATTTGGTGATCTAGTCCCTGATCGAGGAGTTTGGGATGAAGCTGTCTCCCGATGCGGGAGCTGAGCTTTAGATCCACTCGCCGGCGGGTGCTTGATTTCTATGAATGAGGTGTCGGGTGTTGGAGTCTGTGGGTTGTGTAGTGTTTTTGAAATTATTGTTTTAGTTGGCTGATTTTTAGTTTCATTATTTTTTAGTTGGCTAATTTTTTTTTGGTTGGGGTTTTTTGCTCTTTTGGATTTTTAATTTCTTTTTTCAACCCGGAAAAAAGACACATACTCCTCAGCTGCATTTCGGGTGGAAAGCGTGCCTCTTCCCCCTCCCTCCCCTCAGGACCGGTCTTCCAGTTTGCACACGTGTGAGCGTGTGGATTTCATCGCAAATGGCTTTTGTTGCCTTGCGTTAATGGGACTTTAGCACCGAGGTGTCACAAACACGGAGAGAGCAGCAGCCGCCTCTCGAACCGGCCAGATTTTGTGCGTACGTGTGGAGTTGGCTCTCCGTGTTTACCTCGGGAGCGGATGCGAGAACACTTTTAAGAGAGGATGGAAAAGAGGGTGGCTGTACCCTTCGGGGGGTAGAACCTGCCTTAAAATTATTAAAAAAAAAAAAAAAAAAAAAAGAGAGAGAGAGAATGGGAAGAAAAAAA